AATAAAAAAAAACGTTGAAAAAAAAAATTAAAAAAAAAAATAAAGATCATTGAGCACAAAAATGTACAAGTGGACAACTCTGGTGTCTAGGGATGCACACTTGGGTAGTAAAGCTATAATAAACTCCAGGAAGTTATTACTATAAAAGTTGGTTTAGTGGTTACCTTTTGGGAGGAGAAAGGGGGCATTCCTATTTGGAAGATACTCCTGAAGAAGCTTTTGGGATAAGTACAGAAGCTCTATTTCTTTTCTTTTTTAAAGGTTTTTATTTTTGAGAGAGAGCATGAGCAGGGGAGGGGCAGAGAGAGAGGGAGACAGTATCTGAAGCAGGCGCCAGGCTCTGAGCTGTCAGCACAGAACCCAGTGCGGGGCTTCAACTCATGAACTGTGAGATCATGACCTGAGCTGAAGTCGGATGCTTAATCAACTGAGCCACCCAGGTGCCCCCAGAAGCTCTATTTCTTGGCCCAAGTGGAGGCTACAAAGGTATAGCCTCCCTATAAAAACTTAAAGTTATATATATTTTTGTGTGATTTCCAGTATCTTTTATTTCACAATAAAAAGTGTTAAAAAAAAAAACATAGATCAGATTGGAAGAGATTAGATTCCCATGTATTTCATTTGTTATCATAGTAATGAGCATCTTTCTCGTGGGCGAAGTCAGGGTAGCCAAGAAACGCTCCTTTACCTCGCAAAGAGAAAACACAATTAATGCAAAAGAGGGATGTAGCAGTTGGTTTAATTTCTTTTGGGTGTGCCTTTTGGATTTCAGACCCTGTTCCAAACAAGTGTCAAATAGCACAGATACTCGTTTCTGGTAGGTTCAACTGCCCTGTGATTTACAATTTGACACACACACGCACACACACACACACACACAACTGTAATAAACTGGATGGAGGAGAAAAAGTCACCTGCAGTCCCTCCTTCCAGACATACCATAAATCAGTAAATCATAAATATTTTTTACTTTAGTGTTTTTGGCTTGCTGGGGTTCTGTTGGGCAGTTGGTGTTTTTGGAGTGTGTGTGTGTGTGTGTGTGTGTGTGTGTGTGTGTGTGTGTGTGTGTAAGGGGTGGTGTTTGGCCTTTTCAGCAAGAATTCTTTCCCAATATAGAACTGATTTTGAGAATTCAACTGTTATGTTTTTGCCTTCTTGTGAAAACCACTCAGTGCATCGTTTCTTATCTATCATTTAACATGTCACTGATTAAGTAATAGAAGTATCCTCCGAGACTCTGCTGGCCCTGGGGTAGGCAGCTAGGTACTAGTCCTTGTTCTCATTTTGGGCAGCTGTGTTCAGAGTGGAGCCAAGGCTCCTGACATTCCCTCAGTTCCTCACCCCTGCTTTCCCATTTTTCCACTCTGGCAGAGCTCAAAAGAACTGCTCAGGAACATGAAGATCAGGAACAAAAGGAGGAAGAAGATGATGAACACACACTCCACAGAGCTCGGGAGTGGGATGACTGGAAGGACACCCATCCCAGAGGGTATGGCAACCGACAGAACATGGGTTAGTCTTCCCACAAGACGGGACTACAGGGGTTCACACCTTCTGCAACAAGGAAAGCCGTGCTGTCTTCCTCTCCCTGGACTCCTGCTTCAGCTGTGTTCAATGAAGGAAAAGATGCTTAATCTTGCTTTGTGTTCAATAAAGTGTCAGCCAATTTAAGTATGTATTTGTACTTTAGGTGATGAGCCAGCAATCTTGTTTTGGCATTATCATCCTCATCATGGTGTATTTCCAATTTCTTAAGTAGAAAGACAAAAGTACTGATAAATTGCTCTGTATAATCAATGGCTGTATGAATTATCTTTAAAAAAAATAATAAAGTCCCTTCTATTACAGGAGCCTGTGCAGAAATTGAGGTATCAGGTTTTTTTTTGTTTGTTTGTTTGTTTCTTTGTTTTTTTGAGGGGGAGAGAGTCAACTGTGGGTCCCCAGGCTTCTGAAGGGGATCGTGGTCATCTTTGATGTGGGCAGTGACTTTCCCAGCATCAAAACCACCCAGATGAGCTGGCACTTGCTTTCTCCTTCCTACCGTAGCACTGTGAAATAACCCAACATGGCTTGACAAGGGGCAGGTGTGAAAGCTGGGACTTTCCCTGCCTGAGACACAGCACTGTGTTCAGGAATTCTTAGAGCTGTAAATGAATGGACCATAACAGTCCTGTCTACCTAGTCTTCCTTGCCTTGACTGGTAGAAATGAGGGAAGCATATAAGGTGCTGTGAGAGTCATCCTTGTGTACATGGCTGGCGCCGGGGCCTTTACTCTCCTGGAACTATTTGCCGGAACCCTTAGGGTAAAGAGCAGCTCAGGCTGTAGCCCAGCTCTTAAGTGGGCTGTCTTAATGATGAGGGAGCATAAGGCAAACTGAGGGCAAAGTACAAGCTAGCATACCGCACCCCCCCCCCCCCAGGTGGGATATGTGTGATATTCCTCAGTCACTCCTGGCTGCCAAAGAACAAAGGAGAGGAAAGGAAACAAATGGTTAACTGATAGAGATCACAGTCATGCAGGACATGAATCTCCATCAGTTTACAAATACCTTAGTAAATTATAAGAAAAAGGCAATCTTACAAATAGCTTAATCTCCAGAAACTTCTACACTCAATTTCCTGGATCCCGTAATATCGCCTTCCCCTCCGTAGTGATGTGGGGAAACAAGGCAAGGAAATGGCAGGTAAAATTAAATTTCTTTATCACCTGCTGCCCATTGACAAATACTTGAGGCAAATACAGAGTATAACATGTCTCCAAGAACCCCCTACTGTCCTAACATTAATGCCTTACTAGAGGAAAAACAACCTTAGCTTGACAACAGCAGGGCCTCTAAGGAGTCTTCTTTAGCAGATCAAAGTCCTTCTGGAGGCCTCCTTTTGCCTTTACCTCCTCAACTCCATTGTATACAGCCAGTCACTCTTCACAACCCCAGTGCAGCTCTTTCTGCTCACGGGTCCTGTCCCAGTGCTTTAATAAAATCACATTTTTGCACCAAAGACTTCTGGAGAATTCTTTCGTGGCCATCAGCTCTGAACCCCCACCACTCCAGAACCTCATCAAGAAGACCATTTGGTGGGTAAGGGGCATTAAGGAAGACACTTGTTGGGATGAGACTGGGTGTTATACATAGGGGATGAAACACTGGAATCTACTCTTTGAACCATTATTGCACTATATGCTAACTAACTTGGATGTAAATTAAAAACTAAATAAAATTTTAAAAAAGGGATACATGTACCCCAGCATTTATAGAAGCATTACCAATAATAGCAAAATTATAGAAAGAGCCCAAATTTCCTTCAAATGATGAATGGATAAAGAAGATGTAGTATAATGGAACATTACTTAGCCACAAGAAAAAAAGCTTGCCATTTGCAATGACATGGATAGAGTTAGAGACTATTATGCTAAGTGAAATAAGCCAGTTAAAGACAAATGCCATATGATTTCACTCATATGTGGAATTTAAGA